ATGGCAGGTTTATTAGGACCTCGGGTTAATTCTCTGCAGACAGAAATTGGATTTTGTTAAAGTGGATGAACTCATGAAAGGTTTCGGTTTACCTATCAGAACAGCTTTAGATCTCTGCAAGAGAGCGAGATCAACATAAATTTGTCTTTTTTGGCTCTTTGGAGTCAAAACAAGTGACTAAGATTTAGAACTCAGATTGAATGTTTCAGATGATCTTCAATGTCCCCACAATTGGAGATCTGATATAAAAACATTTCAAAAGACTAAAGACCATAATTGCAATAAAAGGTGATCTTACGAAACATTCACTAAGGGGTCTAACACAAATGTATTTGACATATTTAAGTTTTTTTTTCTTTGTAAAATTAATGTAAACCTTCTTACTGTTTGGTTGGTCTGTTGTAATTACAGTATGTAAATTACAATGAAACTTGTTAAGACCAATATACTGACACCTAAGAGCCCAGATGGGTTTTTACTGAGTCTCTTATTTACATAACAAAGCTTGGAATGTTGTCCATCAGAATAATCTTTACTGCCTGAAGTTGTGGTTTTGGCCAAAAATAAAAAATAAAAAAAACACCCCAAACTATCTCAAATGGCTTAACTGTTGGCGTGTTGAAAATTATTTAAAGAAAATGCAGTAAAATATGATGAAAGAATGAGATGAATCACTAAATCCTAACATGGAAAATACAAGCACTACTGAACTTTGAACCTTCAACAGCATTCACTGCTGGGGGTAAGTAATGGGTCACGGTGGTTACACATCAAGACCTTCTGCTGAGCAGTCGGCCGCTGCAGGAGGTCTGATAAGTCTTTGTGGGAGAGCTTAGCAAAGCCAAAAGGGCACGAGCAAAGATATAATTGACATTTTTGAAAAGTTTCCACTTTTTAGTGAACAATCTATGGTACCAGTTCTTTGAGGAACAAAGATTATTCTGCGTTCCATGCATACCTGATTTGCTGTGTAATTCTTTCATTAGCAAATAAAGTATTCTTTTGTTCATTGCAAAGCAGAGAAAACAGGTAGGAGTCTGATTCACCAAGGGACATCAAGCATATTTCATGAACAAAAATGAACTTTCTTAAAAATTAAAGAAAGGTAATTTTTATAAATGTTCCAGAACTAAATGTTTTAGAAAAACCAAAACATTTCACTTTTGCTACAAGGTCATGCCACGGAGCTGCACAGTTCTGTATCCTTTAGCGCTATCTACTCACAGCAAAGATCATTTTCAATCTTGGCTCAGCGTTGATTCAGCATGTTCTGCAGCCTATTGTGCATACATGGGTTTTCTCTAAGTTCTCTGCTTTCCTTCCACTGTCTAAAAGCAGCATGATAATTGGTAAATTGACCTTTGGTATAAGTTTCTGTGAATGCACAGTATGTCTTGTACTTGTCTCTGTGTTGGCCCTATAATGCTCTGGTGACCTGTCCAGGGTGTACCCAGCCTCTTAGCCGTTGACTGCTGAGATAAGCTCCTGCCCTCCTGTGACCAATGAACAGCACTAACTGGGTACCGAAAATGCTGACTCCAACATAATCCAATTAGCCATACTCCCACATTTTGCTGGAAATTGCTATTATTTGCTAATTGTATTATGTTTTTATCATGTAAAGGACTTTGAATTGCCTCCATGCTGAAATGTGCAATATAAATATGACTTATTTCTACCATCCAGCCATGTTTATGTTCATATCATGAGATGTATTTTGAAGCTTAAATAGTTTCTTCTGATGAATGCAAAGAGGGGAAGGGTGAGCTGGTGCCAGCAATAATTGAGATAGAGGCTGGGTACACATTGGACAGATACAAATAGAAAATTTCTCCAAAAAAAATGTGTTCATATACTTTTTCAGCACTTTGAGTTAATTGTGTACTCTGGTATTGCTCTATTACCAGAGTACTTGTTCACTGTTCATAAAACAGTGAACAAATACAGTGAACAGGAATTAACATATGTGTTTGTTCCTGTCTTTATCTTTTTCAGGGTATTACCCCAATGTTCATTTGAATTGTTCAAATCCCTTCCCAGCATACAATCACATGATCACCCTGTTCTCATCCACTCTTTGCCAGATCCTCAATGTGTGTCCTTGTTCTTCATTTGTTGTAGTTGGTCCAAAACGTGCTGTTTGTTTGATTAAAATTCCTCATACTAGGACTGTGGCAACCTCCTGTTTGCATTTGGCTTCACAACAACAATCCAACATTACATTTGGACAGACATAGTGTGTAAGCCTCATTAAAACTTGAATTGGACATAAGATTCCTGGTTTAGTTGCGTTACACAACTTCACCTTTAAATATGGCTAATTTTGTACATTTGTTATCTTCATCAATACTAACAGGCAATCCAAGAAAACTAATGTGATTTCACATGATAAATAAATGCTGTCCTCGAGAGGTATCTATTGTGGATATTTAATGTTGTATTCTGTGACAATATAGAAAAAAATCTTGCTTTGGTCCTTCTATTTTGTTGTTTATGTGATCTATAAACCTGCTGACCTCTTTAAGAACATGACAAATACTTAGTTTTACAGTAATGAAATAAACCCAGCTCACATTTAATAAGGAGAAAGAAAATCACATTGTGCATTGATCAGCTGTGTCTCTTTAAAGCATGCTGTGAGCCAAAAAGGAAATAGTCACGGCTTGATGTCTGAAAGGTGACTGGAAGGGAAAAGCTAAAGAAAAAAAGAGCAAATTATTTCCTTATTGGGTTTCTTTGGAGTCACAGATGATCTGAACACGTGCAGCCAGAAGACTCACACACATGTTTATAAGAAACTGTCCACTTTAGGAACATTGATGTAATCTTACTGTTTACTGGGCACAATGGAATCTGTAAATCTTTAAAGTGAAATTACCTTAATTTGTCTTAGGTGTATGACTTTGATTTTATGTATTTAATCAGTTTACTGGTTTGTTTAATTCCATGGGAGATTCATAAATTTCTAAAACATGCATGACAAAATCAAAACAACAATTCATATGTTTTTGGTGAGGGAATAATATAACACTGGAAGGCTCCAATGACAAATCAGAAGAGCCTTTCAGTGTTTTTTAACACGCTCTGGTTCCAGGGAAAGACATCCACCACTGTTTCTGAGATAAACCGACTGTTTATATGTTCCAAAAAAGAACCCATTCTATTAAATTATGACAACAAAGTGCAGTTTCTTAGTTAAAAATTACATAAAGTAATAAGAGGAGGTTTCCTCAAGTACTAATTCCAACTTTTAAATCAGTTGTATCTAATGTGAGGTAAATTAAATCTGGAGTTTTAGGAAGAAATACTTTTGACTTTTAGCATTATTGGTAATCTAGTTTTAGAAGTTTTAATAGCGTCTTTTCGAATAAAATGTGTTTGTATTTATAGAAACAACAGTTTGGAACAAATAGGAAATGCTGCCATCACACTTACATGATTTGTAAGTTTTTCTATTGATCAGTTTGCAGATAGAAATGTAGTTTGAAGACAAGTTGCAAAATGTTAGATTTCAAAGAAAACTTTATGTTTTAGTGTTGCTCTGTGGCTCTGCATGTGTTCCATGTAGCAATGGACAGTAAGAGCTCACATCCGCTTGCATGTCATTTAGCTTACAAGTTGTAATCCTTGCTGAAGGTTCTCTTTTGCAAAAATCAGTCTCTAAGTTCCTTTTTCATTTTTTATTGTTCTTAGATCCTATCATGAAGAAAAGCAACAGAAGGCAACCCTGCCAACATACAGAGGACAGGGGGATGAGGCATACATTTTTCTTTCTAAGCAGACAGATGGATGGACGGACGGACGGACGGACGAAAAGACACAATTTCCCCATAATTACACAAGAGGTTTTATTCATGTCAAGATCATTATCACTGAAAGTTAATTTTCCAACTACTGAGTGGTAATGAAGCAAAACCTTTTATTAATTTTACATTGGAATATCATGTTTGCATGTGTTTTTATAAACCCATGATTTCAGTTCCAGTAAAGCCATAAGCAGCTCTTGCAGGTAAAGCATTTTAGTCTGGCTGGTGTTTGTTATGGGTTCCCCATGTGAAAAGCTTGAGAGGTCACAGACAGTGACAGTGACCTGTAGGGGCCATAAAGCTTTGTTAACCCCTGCCTTATTCCTGTCACATTCTTCATAGACAAGAAAAGAAAAGGAGGACGAGCGGCACCGGCTTACCTGCCATTTGCCCCCATGTGCAGCTGCCTTGTTAACCACTAGCCTGGACATCTTCCCAACGCCTAACAGCAGACGGTTTTGCTTAATCTCTCAGGGTCAGATCAAGTTTATTGGAGCATACTTTAGGCCAGTTAGGGGGTTTCTTAGGCGTAACTCCTCCAAATAGATCCAGAGTGGGACTTGGACTCCGAACAAAAGGAGCACTGATATGAAGTTTTGCTTCAACATTAGAAGGTGACTTAAGAAATCTTTTCAAATTATTGTGGATTTTCTGTCATTAATATTTGAATAAATTCCCCATTGTGAATGCAAAGAAACTGTGGGCTATTTGTATCCAGTAACAAGGTCCTGGTACTACTCTGCCAGTTATATGACTGTGCTACCTGAATTATGACCAAGTTCAAATAATTTAACTGTTAATTTGAAGTTCATGAATTTAGGTTCCCCACGCCATCCAAAATCATACTTTAGGTAAATTTTATCCTATTGAATGCTTTTTGGGCTTATATAATAAATAATGAGTGTACTTTGAAAAGTCACACATATATGTTCATATATATGTGGATTTGGAACGTTTCATGTTGTCTCACACAAGTTAATTTGAAGGGACGGCGAATTTACACTGTTATACAGGCTTTACAGTGACAACTTAAAATTGCATAAAAGTGTCATGTCTTCAGTGTTGTCCCATTAACGAATATAATTACATATTTACCAAATGTGATTGCTGTAATCATTTTTGCTAGATGTTAGATTCTTTAAATTTGTTATCAGCAAGAAAAGTAGTGTAGAAATTCAACATGGAAGACAAATGAAATGTAGGTTTATTCTTTATTTCCAGCTGTAAACAAAAAGGAACATTCAAGGAAGTGGAAAAAACATTAAAAATAAAAATACACTCCATTAATTTAGACAAACATTTTTTCTCGAAGCTGTGCTCCTCCCTCTACGCAACAAATTTGACCAAACTGAATTTCACAGCTTTGAAATTTATGTTAAAGGCTGTGTTTTGTTAGTACAATAGACAAAAAGTGAATGCATGGAGTTATGCAGCTTTTAGTTTAAAACGACAGTATGCTTGAAATGGTTCTTTTAAGACCTTTTCTTTGGCATAAGCGTCAACCATACTGGAAGAATTTGAATACATTGTTATGTTTACATGAAGACATCTTAGTCCATTGTGCACTTTTTATACAACAGATTAAATAGATTAAATATCCTGCACAAAACAGTTTTTTTACAGTCCAGAAAGAAGAAAGCCATTTTCTTGTTGAGGTCCAGGAAACATCTGCAACATGTGTGTTTCAGCTCATATTTTCTGAAGCTTGATGGCTTTTCCGAATTCAGAGTTATTTCGTACTATTATTTTTTCCATCTGGTAAAATGCACACAATTTCCAGCCTCTTCTTCTCCCTTCATTTTTCTCTCAAAGTGAATCTGTCCTTCTTCTGGCAAACACAGCAGACATGCTTTTAACTATGCCCTTAAACCTCAGAGGTCTCTTTGTGGTGAGCTTGGCATTCTTCATCCTGTCCACGAGGCCGTTAAAAACCGAGACAACGCTGTGGTAATTCTCTGCAGCAGAGACTTCATAGAAGAGGCAGTCCATGCTGAGGGCCAGCATCCGGCCATCCTCACTCAACACTGTCCGTCTGTGGTGCAGGTCCTTTTTGTTGCCCACTATCACTATGGGGACCTTATCCCTGCTAAAGCAGTCCCTGGTGGATTTGATCTTCTGAACCAGCCTGCTGATGGCGTTGAAGCTGGCTCTGTCACAGATGCTGTAGACCAGGACGAAGCCATCTGCCCACTGGATCTTCTTATGGACATGTGAGGTTTCCACAGACAAATCCTGCAAGATAAGACATTTGATAAAATTGTTGCATAATTTCAGGGGTTTTTTTCCCCACCTCGTTTTTGCTTAAGATCGGAGGTCTTGCATGAACACCACTATCCCCATATTGGCCAATTGCAATTTTCCCATTCATCTTGTGCTATTAATGCACATTTTAAACAAGAGTTCAAAATGGTATTTTTGGCTTGTCGCACTATTAAGAAAAATATTCACAAGTCTGTCTAAAACATGTTTTCTTCCATGTAGAATAGCCACTAAATGTGGCCGCCCCTCAGGGTGTGATACCCTGGACAGTGAACCACGTCACCCATCTTCTACTGCATATAAAAAATCAATAAGGCAGTGTCTTACAAGATTTATGAGGATTTAGATAGCACATATACCTGAGAGTAAGGTGAGTCCCAGATATTCAACGTGACCTCTCTGCCATCTACTATAAAACTCTGACTGTAGATGGATTCTGAAAAATGAAAAGAAATTTGTGTCAGAGTTAATTCATTAAAAAGGCATCAAGGTTAAGGAAGCATAATGGAAACTTACCAATGTCTCCATATTCGCCTATAAATCTCCGAGTCAACAGGCGCACAGTCATTGCTGAGGAAGAAAAGAACCATCTTAATATACAAAAGCAATTCCAGAAGAGTTAGTTTTTCGTGGAAGAAAACGTGTTTTACCTGATTTCCCGACATTTTCTGTCCCCATTACAACAATATTGGCTTCCATTGTGGGTGTGAAACTTGTCAGATGTCCATGTGTGGATGAGGACCAGGTCTGCTGCTCTGTCCCCGCAGCCTTCTGAAGGCAGCTCTTATAAGAGGGACAGGTGGGCGGGGCTGGCAGGCGGACAAAACAACAACAGTCAGACCTCTGTTATAATTTAATGATTTCTATGTCACGTGGTAAAGAGACAGCGTGAGGGGGGAATCAAATCAAATCAAGACTCAGTGTGTGGTGCTAATGCTCCTACTGTACTGAGAAGATGCAGCCCTAATAAACCCTTATTATAGATGTCTCTCTAAAGGGCAAATATAAAAAGTGAGATCTAATTTGAACAGTCACCCTTTGTCCCCAAAAAAGTACATTAGTTACCCAGTGAATGAATTCAGAATCCAGACTGAGGCTGAAGTTCTTGTTTGAGTTGCTCGTGAAAAAAAAAAAAATCACAAAATCTGGTGATCAATCAAATCAAAACGACTGTGCGTTTTTGAATTCTCTGATTAATCTGACTGGTCATCAATGCTATTGAACACAATTTTCTGTTGAAATCTAACACTGTATTATTTGCTGATTGGCTTTCAGAACTAATTAGCAGAATTATGTGCTTCATTTTATTAACCCAAGGTTTCGAGGATACGAAAGTGTGTGGAACATCTAGATTCAGTTATCTAGAGAATTGACTCGACCTTTGGCAATAAAGTGTTGTGAAACCTGAATAGAAGAAATGACAAAAGAGAGTTGATAGAAAATGTTGTACTCAAATTGTCGTATTTTTTTTTTAGTATAAATAGTGCATTTTGTTGTAGTTTGTGGAATTCATTATTTTATTCACCGTTTTTATAAAATTCTTAGTAGATTTCCATGCTCTGAGGGCACAATACTGTTCTACTCAGAGTTACCACAAGGGGGAGGTGTAGTTTTATAAATCCTCTGCCATAAAGACTTTTTCAGTTTTTGTTTATTTTTCTTTGATAAGCTAAACCTACTGACTTGGGACATTGATTGGCTGAACAAAAAAAAAGACGCTCATATTATTGGCTGGGTCAGTTTGTAATTAGCCCCCCTACAAATCAAACTACATTATCTTTACATCTTTACTTTTTTATAACGACCTGAGTAGCAAGGTCAGGTCGTTCGGATTACTTATCTAGATCATTCTCCTTAGATATGAATATGACACAGGCAACTGTTTCTTGTAGTCACTCATCATAATGGGAAAGATGTGAAAACATGTCACTGCACATGAAATAATAGGAAAACTTTTCTCTTTTAGGTGTACAATTGTAAAAGTCATCTAAAGAAAATAAAAACGAAAAGTACTATTTTGGGTCATTGCAAAAAATCTCAGTTTTTCCATGAAGCAGGGAAAAGCATTGCTGGGAAATTGCTTGGTACAGTCATTATGTATTATAACATCAACAAGGTTTTTTTTTTCCATCCAAAGCTGTTTAACAGGAAGCTGGTTCGCCACTGTGTGCTTAGGCAAATAAATCTTCTTACAGACTTAACTTATACACTCACTTTATCCTCATGATAATTTGCCTTTCCTCTATTTCCGGAGCAGTGATAAGAAAAGAAACGGAAAATTATCCTCCCAGTGAATGCCACCAGATGCCGTTCCTTATTTAAATTAACCCTTGATTTGCAATTCTGCTTGAAATGTGAGGCTTAAAAAAGAAAGGGATAAAACTGAACTGAGGTGGCGCTTCATTCATTCGAGATGTGCAAAAGTGCTCATCATAAAAATACAGTTTAACAAAAGCGCAACTCATGTGGGATGGAAGCTGCTGCAGAAAATCTCAGTCAGACCTAAACTTCCCATGAACTGGAGGGATTTATTATTGTTGTGCCACATATTAACTAAAAGAGATCAAATTATTATTATTTTTTATTATTTTATTATAGTTCAATTTGCTCCTCAATCAGTGAGCGGAACAGATGTTAGTTTGCATTTAAAACTCATACATTTTTAAAAATCTGGTGGCTTGGGGTCACAGAGCAGTCCTATAAGCACTGAAGTTACAATAAAAACACGCTTATGAAATCAAAAAGCACCTGTTTCATGGGAGGATTAAAAAATGTCATCATATCATTTAAATATATTCTACTACTGCTTGACAAAATATATAAAAATATGTGAAGTAAAGTACATATTGTGCCACTGGAATAACTACAAGAAAGCCTCATAATCCATGACACAGGAAAAGCCAAATAAATTGTGCTGAGTCCTGAAAATGTCTTTAAAATAGCAAATAAACCAATTTCATGAATAGTGTCTTACATTTTGTGATGTACAAACCATAAACTTCAGTGTAATTTTTCAAGATTGCTTGTGATAGATCAACACAGAGCAGTAAATAATTGTAAAGTTGAGAAAAAATACGGTCTTCATAGTAAAAATGTGAAAACTGTGGAACATCTGTGTTTTCAATATAAATTAAAACTTTACAAGAATTTCCAATGCAATTACAGTAAGTCTTGCAGGAAATGTCCCAACCAGCTTTTTACACATAATTAATATTTTTGGCTAACTTTTCCTCACCAAAAAGCCGATTGGATTGGATGCATAGTGTCACATGTCCTGCCATAGATTTAATTTAGGACCACATTTTATCAAAGCCAATCCCTTATGGTTGTGTTGTCAGGATCTCTGGTCTGCTAAAAGATGAATCTTTACCTCAGTCTCACGTTTTGCAGTGAGACTGAGGTAGAGTAGATTTTACAGTAGATTTTATCCCAGGATTGTCAAGTATTGAGCCTCATTATCTCCCTATCGACTCTTTCAGTTTTCCTGTCGAATAAATGCATATCCACAGTAGGGCGATTTGAACTACATTTTTTGGGACAGCGGACTAAAATAATAATCTAATCTAATCAGAACATATTTTAACAAACATTCTTAAAGCAGGTGCATGTTTAATCTACAGAACACGTGGCAAACTGCAAATGGGAAGTCTTACGACTTCCTTTTGACAATGATGTGTCTTTGTGTTCTCTAGATTTTACACCAAAATGGGTTAACTGAGGTGACATTATTTATATCTTCTAACTGTAATGCAAAACTGCAATTTAGCACTGTCGAATGGCAAAAACAGTCTTTTCAGTCTGTAACAAAAGTGTGTTTTCCTCAAAATGCTTTTGCCAGTTGCTGCCAGTTGATAAAACTGAAGGCATCCGTCATTAGCAGCCACTTACACACTGATGCTCTCATTAGACAGCTGTGACTGAAGACCACAGAAGAGGCAAGAGTGTGCCATTAGTGTGTCATTTCCTAGAGAGGAAGGAAACTTTCAGACCCCTGCTGTCAGAATCACAGGATGAGAGTGAAAAGACCAGAATACCTTCAATTCACAGACTGAAACAATTCCTCCTCTGTCCCTCCGGAGTTGGCAAGGAAAGAACACAAAGTGGGCTCAGCAGAGAAAGTAAGAAAACACAGAGAGGCTACTAAACAGTCATTTACATCTTCTTATGCTAAAATCTGATTTTGCCACTTATTAAAAGCAAGCTCATGTTTGAGTGTTTGCTGTAAAGCTTTTTTTTAGTTTTCAGTATCTAAAAGCTGACTTACTGAGCCCTTCTCTGGCTAGCTCATCCAGATTCCTGTCAGAAAACATAAAATTTTGTCAATCCACTGCACCTCAAAGTGCGGTCTACAGTTGAGAATGTGCTTGCAAGAAAAAGTGGCTCCTAAATATTTCATAGTATAAATAACCGTAAGTAGCTTGTAATGGACTTTGAAAGCTTGTCAGAGTTTTACGTAACACCTCCTCCAACTCCTCCATCTCCTGCTCGTGTCAGAAAATGTGCTCAAATGTGACTGCTGTAAACAAAGTCTTCTTCATATCTCTGCTTTTGAAATATTTTTTGAAAGTAACTGCCCTCATTTCAACCTCTTGAAAAATATTTAATTACATGTGTTATGATATTTGACCTAAAATGCACTCAACATCTTAGATTTTTATTCAAGCTAAAATTCATGTGAGAATTTTTATTTATTTATATAACCTCATAATAACGCTCTTTTTGTATTAATATGCGACAAAATGATATTTGAAAAAAAAAAAAAAAAAACAACTCGCACACATTAACGCTACAGAGACCAATTAACTGCACACATGCACAGGGAGAACATGCAAACTCCACGAATGGAACCCGAGCCCAGGTCCTCCTTGTGTTCTTAGCATTTCCAAAGAAATTATGTTTTGAGTTAATCCTATGTGTCGAATGTGTTAAAACACATTTGAATACCTGGCTAAAAACAGAGATGCAAATGAGTATGTGTCGGGGAAAGCATTCCATTAAAAGCCAGACTTAATAAATATTCAGGAATGTATTTTACTTTTAAATAAATCACAGCACAGCCTTTAGCCCTGAAGCTTATACAATAGTTCATAGACAGTAGATGTATTAGTTGAAATATGATTGTGTCTAATGTCACCAAAACAAAATCTTCCACCAAAATAAAGAAAAGACACTTACAGACAACCCTCTATGGATTTGCAAACATCTTATTCAGCGAGTCGTTCAGCTCAGTGGCAGCGGAGAAATATGTTCCAATCTGAGCTCAAGGAGAGAATAAACAACCTCTGCTTCTACATTTATATCCTCTCACAACTTTAAATCCTGCTGCACACCACACACAGCAAAAATACAGCAAAAACTCTTTAACTCATTGTTTGGCAGCCTGGTATAATCCAGCCTCTTGACCTCCTCTAAAGAGATTTCTTTTTTCTTTTTGAGGAGACTTGCACAAAAAAACAAAAAAACAGGCTTTTAGTTTCATTTACTGATAACTGTAGTTTTTCTTTAACTCATGTGCCTTTCAAAAGTACTTACAAATATACTATTGTCATGGTGAAACTTTCTGGTAGTAACATCACAGTTTGAGGTTTTTATTGTTTCAGCATGGGGAGCTGATTGGAGTATGGATGGGTGTAAAAACATGTCCTATTGTGCAAACGTTTTTAGACTGGGACAGGGGTTTTACTGTCACCAGGATGCCAACGCTTAAGATCCAACGAGAGTTATGATGGAATGGGTATAGCACACTGATGTATTAGTTTGGCCCAGTCAAAGTCCAGGCCTAAATCAGTAACATCTCTTGAAAATTGCTATTTACCTAAGCTTTTCTAATCTGGAGCTGAGCTTGAGCAATTTTGTAAAGGAGAGTGTATAGAAACATATAATTTGCCATTTACTAAACCAAAACATATCAAATCAAGAATTTGGAAGATTTTGCCAATTTATGAAAACATAATGCTGCATTGCAAGAGTGGCTTCCAAGTGGCTTTTCTATAACTTTGTTGCTTTACAAATCAGCAGTTTTAGAAGAGACTCACAGGCGCAACACAAAAACAGTAGTATCTTTTTGCATAGTTATAAAAACAGGCAGCTTAATTTGAGCTCTTTTTAGGGAAATGTTTGGTGTTTTCCTTCTAATCCTTTTGTTGTGATCAAAGGGGAATGAAATGGCGCCCACAGATGGTTCACTCACAGGGCAATTCCTCCTTCATTTGCATGAATTTAACGTATGCAAATTAAAACGGAGGCTGGGGAGACAGTTCTAAAGTGAACATGCTTATATGTCTGAATTTTCAATCCTGGCACTGTGTTGTACTTTCAGATTTAAGGACAATTTTTGCATTAAAACAAAAAGAGCAATAAAAGATTACCATTTCTGTACAACAGATCATTTCCATGTTATGTGTTGTACACGGCAGATTTACAAAAGAAAAGTGAACAATCTCTGTGGTCGTATAAAATTAACTTAACTCTGAATTTTTTTCCAGTGAGATTCTTGGATGTGATGCCCAATTCAGTGTGAATTTTCAGCCCACCACATGCCAAATGCTGACAATCCAAATGTCATCAACGTAAATGCTTCCCTGTGTAAAACGAGTAATAAAATGTGCTGAGTGAAGAAAAAGAGGCCTATAATATTCTGCATTGCCTGGTGCTTCATACTCACAGGCCATGCATGTAATTTACAATCGTGAACTCTGTATCTCATGAGTGGCTGTCAAATCTCACTGCACAGATTTCTCCACCCATCTTAAATGAAGCTTTGCTTTTACCCTCAAGTCCTTATTTATGAGCGCATTTCTGTGTAAGTTGCCAGTTGAAGTCACACTGACAAAAGAAGGCTTTAATTACAGAAATTACTGCCTTGTCTGATGTACTCTTAAAAAAGGGACATGTTACAAAAGTTTTCCATCCAGAGATTTCTACCCTTAGCCCTCTGTACTTCAGCTCAGAAAATGGTGGTAAAATGTTACCAGATGTTTTTGAACTAAGGATTGTGAACCATATAATCCAACTGTTCTATTCCCTGAGCTCAATATCAGCAAATTACAAAATTTTGTGTGGAATGTTTTTTGTTTTTTTTTCTGTTTGGGTCCCCAGTGTGTAGATAGACAGGAAAATGAGTAGTTATTTTTTTTCAATTCCTACAGAAATGCAAAGGTAAGAAGCAAATATGCTCTCTGTGTTTCTACATCAGACATTAAGCGAAATATCCTTTTGAGTACCTTTCATTAAAAGTTTAGGATTCTCTGTCTGGAATTTGGGGATATTTTTAGGATAATTGTACGTTCTAGTACTTTATGTAATTTTGGATTTAAACGTTTTGGAAGAAGAAGGGAGAACACTTTAAGGGCACATTTCAGAGCAAAATACCTTTTGGTCTACTGCAGGATTTACCCAAGCCTCTCTCAAATGAGAATATATTTATGCATCTCTAACAGTGAGAGTTAATTAAGAAGAGATGAGAACATATTTCTTACATTAACTACATTACATCATAAGTAAATGATCAAAAACACATTCAGTTTAACAAAATGTTTAATGTTGTACACAGTTCAACTACACTTGTGTTTCTGAGGAATTAAAACACATTCTATTAATAATTTACATAAAGTGACAATTTAACAGTCTTCACATCATCTTGTGTGGTGATCTTCTTCAGAATAACCTTCCCTGATGAGTCTGGAGACAAAAAATGCTTTCATTGGATTAGTCTGGACTCACACAGTTCTGAAATCATATGTTTTTGTGGAATATTTTGGCCATACAAACTGTATAAGAACATCACAAGTATAGTTTTAATTACTGACTTTGTAGCAGCCTAGTTTGTGTGCAAATTGTCATCATAAACACAAAAAAGCAGCTGTGAGGAGAGGAACATGGACTACGTTTGTCAGGACGAAAGAAATCAAAAGGTTTTGGTGGGGGGGAAACACGTCCACAAGGTAAAACAATTCATCTGATAAGTTCTTTTGTTTAAGAACTTATCTGTTTGGCCTTGTTTTGTTTTGCTTACCCTGAAACAATAACTCTGTGCTTTTGGACTTTTTTTAGAAGACATATCAGAGACATTTGTTCTCTTTCACATGGAATGGGAATAAAAATATCAAAAGTAATGCAATGTTGCTTTGTGATGTTCCGGTTGGTGACATGAGATAACATACTCTTTTTGTTTCACTTTAATTTTTTTCAGTCAGTTCATTATGTGTACTGGTGGCATATGACCACAATAATAGAGATAGAAGTGGGAAAAAACTGAAGTTTTAAATGTCGCCTGGAAAGTTCCCCCAGGGTGCGTCTTTGGCCCTGGTATTGTTTCCGTCTCAAATGGCTTGTAACTTTAAACTTTTGGGGTGTATTTTTATGCTATTTTCAGTTATCTGACTGTAATTCATCTTTCCTTTATGTGAATGCAGCACAACTGGCTTTGCTAGTTTTCAGTAGTGTTTGTACTTTCCCGTGACAAAACTTTGGCTATTGTACAATAAGGTATTATGAGATGTGTTCTTGTGAGAACAATTTTTTTTTCACTGAAACAAACATGATTGCTTCAAATTTTTTGACTAAAGTAAGGGGAACAGAGTGCTATTTATGCCTGTCAAACACAGTTCCACAGGGAAACATGCACATTTGCTTTATTTACCCAAGAAGAAACTGGACCTCACTGCTTTAAATGTGCCACACTTGAAAGCCCCTCTCCAGCAGTACAGATAATGTTACTCTATTTTGAAAGAGCATGTTGCCCTCTCTATTGATGCTAGAGTAAAAATAGAGAGCAGCACAGCAGCATAAAATGGTTCAAAATGTAGAACAGACAGCAGAACTCTATATTTAGACAGAACACAATCACAAAAAAGTGCCTGGTGACATTTTCCCAACTCCAATGAGAAGGTTGTTTGACTCTTCTTTTAATACTGAATGTAGATGTCTTGATGATCTCCTGTAAAATTTCAGAAGAAAACAAGGTTTGAGATGCCTCCTCAAGAAAATTAACCATTGCATTAAACATGTATGAGCAGATCTTCTGAGTTTAAGTTTTTATTTTGCATATTATATAAATTTAGGGATATTAGGGACAACAGAGAACAGATGCAAATATCAAATGTCTTTTGACTATTATCTAGCTGCAGTGCATGCAGTTCATAAGAGCATTGTGTGTTTCTAAATGCATGAAGGGTTTCTGAAAAACATCTGACACTGCAGGAAAGAAATTATGGGAATTTTCCACAAAAAAAAAGAAAAAAATATGTGCTTTCGGTACAGTCAATGCCATCCTCTGCAGAGGCCGCTCCCCTCCAGGTGAAATTCCAGCTGCACTCAGCAGCAGCCGATTGGCTGAACATTACACTGCCTGGAGCCAAACTGACAGGACATTGGTTTGAAGGAGACAGCTCTGGGTTCAAGTTAAAAGAAGAGAGGAGGGGTTTTATGATGAGCAAAGAGTGGAATTTAAATAACAGTCCGAGTCCAGACCAAGAGTGCAAGAAAAGAGTTCACAAAGTGCAATTAAGAAAGACTAATAGTGTTTTTACCCCTCAGTTTGACAAACCACTTGCATTAATTAGTAAGTCTGTGCAAAAAAGCAAGAGTCGTGTAAAACAAAACAGGTCAACAAGACCCTGCACCCTGAGAGTCACAACCAAATCAGGAGTAGCAGAAATCGGGTTTTATGCACTATAAATCTAAAACAAACTTCCAGAAAGCTTCAAAATGCAGAATCACTGAGTTCTTTTAAATCAAGGGAAAAGAAACCTTGAAGCATCATACTAATCAAATGCATTTGATTAGTAGAGGAACACTGATTAATATATTCAATGGTGATTATTCTTTATTGGTGTGTAATGCTTGTTGCTTTTCTGAATGTTGGTTATTGTGTTTGTTTGTTTTTTAACACAATAACCCCCAGGATGAGACACTTTGTGAAATGTGCTTTACAAGTAAACTTGACTTTACTTGACTTGTTTAGTGCAAAGTCATAGGTCAACCTTTTTTCTTAGCCATGATATTGCACATTGGGAGCTAGGCCTCATGAGAGATATACCATAACAGCTGAAATGGATCCACACCCAAGAGGATGATCCGCAGGAACAGAGAAGAATAAAGAATTAACACTGGCATTAAGGCATGTACCTGTTTCATCAGGAAGAACTTCTTTATGATGAAAGGACAGCAACATCTTGATCCAGTGGTTTTAAGAATTGAGTCCAAATCCTTTATAGTAGC